TTAAAGGACTAATGTCACAGCAGGATTTGGAAAAACTTGTCCATGCTTTTATCTTCAGTAGACTCGACTACTGCAATGGTGTCTTTACAGGCCTCACTAAAAAATCTATTAGAAAGCTGCAGCTAATTCAGAACGCCGCTGCTCGAGTCCTCACTAACACTAAGAAAGTGGATCACATCACTCCTGTTCTGAAGTCTTTACACTGGCTTCCTGTGTGTCAAAGAATAGATTTCAAAATATTGTTGCTGGTTTATAAAGCTTTGAATGGTTTAGGCCCAAAATACATGTCTGACCTACTGCTAAATTATGAACCATCCAGAACCCTCAGGTCTTCAGGGACTGGTCAGCTTTCTGTCCCCAGAGTCAGAACTAAACATGGTAAAGCAGCATTCAGTTATTATGCTCCGAATATCTGGAACAAACTCCCAGAAACCTGCAGGTCCGCTGCAACTCTTACTACTTTTAAATCCAGGCTGAAGACTTTTCTTTTTGCCGCTGCTTTTAATTGAACTATTCACATCTTAAACTGCACTGTAACTTTTAACTTGTATCCATGTATTTTTTCTTTTAATGTTTATTTTATTATCTTTCCTTTTTAATGACTGATTTTAAATGCCATTTTTAAAATGTCTTCCATTTTTGTAAAGCACTTTGAATTACCTTGTGTTGAAAGGTGCTATATAAATAAACTTGCCTTGCCTTGCCTTGCCTTGCCTTAATATTATAAATACATCTCAAAAATCATAGCAGCATTCAGTTTAAACTCTAAGAAACACAATGTGTAAGTTCTGATAGTGTTGGGGGATTTTGCCATTGTTGAACAGAGGAGTGAAACCTCCTGCTGAGCATCACTGAAGTTAATACTAGTAAAAAACAGTAAACGTTATCAGCTTCAAAAGGCAGACAGCAGTTACCACAGAAACAGGTTCAAAGCTCAAGGCTACTTACCACAGTGTGTACAAATAATATGAGATCAAATATCTAATTGTCATGCCTTTTTATAAGCAACACTTGTAACATAACACCAGATCCCTTGCTTTGGAGAGTCCAGAACACATCTAATATTTAGATTCTACTTTGTTTAATAGAGTCAATTATAAAGATGTTTTCAAATACAGGAAATATGAAAATTAGCATTAGCTAATGCTAGCTTGGACTGTATGCTCTCTAACCTAACTTACCCAGAGTTTACATTGTATTGTTGGCTGTTGCTAATGTAAATGTTGAGGTTTTTATCTTAACTGACACATTTATATAGTATAATATTCTTTATATGGTCAAATGGATGTAATAGAGTCAGATTCTGATTTTAATCCAACTTTGACTAAATATTTAGTAAGTGATGTGTCTGTAGTGTACTCACCAGTGTTTGCAGAGTCCTGCTGTGTTGTTGAGAAAAAGCTTCTGGATTCAGTTGAGTGTTTCTTCAGAGAAACAGAGACTTGTCTCGGCTGCTGCTCTGCTGTCGCTCAGACAAACTTCAACTTTGATTTCTGGGAAATTGAAACTCTTCTCTTACAGTGTGGTTCAACCTGTCAGTGGCAGTTTGCCAAGAGGGAGTGGAGTAGAGATGGGCGAGTCCTGATTCATCCGGATCATTAACCCGGATCCTAGAAATGAGCTGGTCATGACGAGTCTCCCCTCTCCATTAACCCGAGTCCTTTGAGTCCCACTTTTGGTGTGACGTACAAATTAAAACTATAAATTGCGTCTCTCGCTACTCTCTTTATAACATGTAAAATCACATTACAACGTACCCCAGTCCATCTGCCTACCCTTTAGCAAGTAGGATAGCTGCCAGAAGTGATCGTTTGGCTCAGGGGAGGGGACGCGGATCAGTGAAACTTCCTGCAGACTTGTGGGGACTCAGAGGAGCCGACGGCTCCGAACCGTAATAGCATAGCAGATCCAGCGATCCATACTCGTCATGTGCACGAGCATAGCCCCTCCTCCAGCACACGGCTCCCGCGGCTATATTATGCACGAGTCAACAGCAGACTCGCAGATTCGCAGATTCGCAAATCCTGACTCACTGTGCAACACACATCAGACTCGTGCGGACTCAGAGCCGTAGCCATATAGCAGCAGATCCAGAGATCCAGCAGACTCGTCGTCATGCATGAGTCAACAGCAGACTCAGATTCGCTAATCCTGACTCACTGTGCAAAACACAGCAGAGCAGACTCGTGCGGACTCAGAGCCGTAGCCATATAGCAGCAGATCCAGAGATCCAGCAGACTCGTCCTCATGCACGAGTCAACAGCAGACTCAGATTTGCCAAATCGCAAAATAACCCTTTTTTTTGTGATCAACATTTTTTATTAAAGCAAAATACACTGTGTAGCGGAAGTTAATATAACGTCAGTTTAATATGCTCGTGAAATGCAACAACTTTTCGGTTTCACCGATAGGATTTCTACGGTCTTGGTGATGCTGACTCATATGACTCAAATGACTCGTATGATCCGGATCTCTTCAATGACTGACTCAGAAGACCCTGAGTCCGTAAAAGGATCCGGATTTGCCATCTCTAGAGTGGAGGAAGAACTATTGAGGCTTGTTATTTAACTTTGTGACGATGCATTTTACAGCTGATCCAAGAGGCTTTTCAAATAGTGTATTGAGCATGAGTAGGAATATTTTCTCAATACATAAAGGACATCTCTTTACACATCTGGAGATGTATAGCTATATTTCACAACGCTGTGTTATGGTCCCTGTTTAAGAGCAGCTGGTGAAACACTTCCTCCTCCCTGAACAGACTGTTTGAAAATGGGTCTTGTAAGAAATATGAGGAGTAAAGGCTTGTGGAGTTATACAATAAACACACAACGTCTAAATCCTCTTATTAGATGCAATATTAATCACAGAGGAACGAACCCGGGAGGAAGACCCGCCCCCCGTCGAGACCGGCCAATAGGAGAGGACTATAGATTATAACATGTGATGGACAGAAAAAACGCTCTCTCTCTACCCCGGCCACGCGATAAACAACAGCTGGGAGGAGGCAGCGGCACCCCACGCGATCGGGAGAGCCGCACAACTCTTACACATTCCATTTGTATCACCGTATAATTTGTTTAATTAAATGCTGTTAACTTTAAAATAAGCTTCCTTGGACTCTTTTCAGCTAATCCTGCTCTCAGGTTTGAATCACCTGTAACAGTCTGTACTTAAATGCCATTGTTTGCTACGTTGTACTTTTACTCCTACAATTGATTAATACCTTTAGTTACTTTACAGATCTGGATTAATAATGTGAAATATAATCAAGTGTTAAATCAGACTTTAGTTCCACCTGGAGTAAATTCACAAGCTACCCTGCAGTATACAAAGTCATTCAAGGGACGGGAGTGGTTCAGTCTGTAGGGGATTGGACTTTGGCCCGAAGGGTTGCCGGTTCAAGTCCCGATCGGACCAAAGAATACGGGGTATGGACTGGTACTGGAGAGGGGCCAGTTCACCTCCTGGGCCACTGCCGAAGTGCCCTTGAGCAAGGCACCTAACTTTTCACCCTTTGTCTGAAACCAGACCATTTACATGCACCCAAATATATAACACAGTACAGGAAATCGAAACCCTTTAAATGTCTGAATGGAAGTGTTTGCACCGGTTGACCCCCGTATTTTCTGGATAACCTGGACCAAAATCCTTCGTGCACACAAGTATGAGGAAGAGGTTCAAAGTTCCAGGTAGCATACTAAAAAGAGAAAAGTATGCGAGTTGGAACGCAGACGAAAAGTCAAGGTGAGTGAGAACTGGTTTCCTCAGCGTGCGTTCAGACCATTCTTCTTAAGTGAGAACACAACACACGCCTCAGTGGAGAGCAGATTCCTCAGCACACTGCGCTTTGTGCTGCGTACGTGCCACTCATTCTTCAAATCCCTCCGGACAAAGACGCTTGTTGTAGAGTGAAAGGTAAACAGTGAGACGTCAGGACAAACATTAGCAGAGAACAGTTTGAGCTCTTCTGTCACTCTGAGGAAGAGCACATGTCAACTTTTGAAGAGAGGCAAAGTCCCTTATGCAGGCAACAGTGAACACAATTTAAGAAATATAAAATACAAAGTGCAAAAACTCCAGATATGAAATAATGAGTGTCTTTGTCGTCAAGTTTTGTCTTTTTATGGCCATTGTGAGTGTATTTGTAGACTCCTTCTGTCTCTTTGTAGTCATGTTTTGGCTTTTTAGAGACATTTTATGCAACTTTTTAGTCACTTGAGTCTCTCTGTGGTCATGTTGTGTCTCTTTGTAGTCTTTTTGTGTGTTGTTTTGATTATTTTGTGTAACTTTTAAGTCCTTATTAGTCTCCTCAGAGTCGTTTTGAGTCTTTTGTAGGCCTTAAGTGTCTCTTTTGGTAATTGACTGTCTCTCTGCAGTCATTTAGTGTCTCTTTGTGATGATTAAGTGTCTCTTTGTGCCACTTTGTGGACATGTCTTGTCTTATTGTGGTCATTATGTGTACCATTGTGGTCATTCTGAGTGCCTTAGTAGTCATGTTGGGTCTTTGAAAACATATCACATAGTCATTTTGACTCTCTTTGGAGTTTCTTTATGTATCTGTTGTTATTTTCACACTTTTCATAGTTTCTTCGTGTCATTTTGCAGCTGTTTTTCATGTCTTTGTAGTTTCTTTGGTCTTCTCGCAGCTCTTTTGCATCTGATTGTTGTCTTTTTGTCCGCCCCTTGAGTCTCTCCTTGGTTTATACTTGTGTCTTTGGGTGACATTTTGTAGATCTAGGCACTGGTGTTAAGGTCAGCTTTTTGGTGAGCTAAGAGATTCTGTTTCCCATTCAGCAAAAAAGAAAGTGAAAACTCTGCATTTATATCATTCTGCTCAGAACAAATCCAATCTAATTTGAACACTGATGAAAAGTAAATCATGCTAAATTGACTTACTGTTAGTTGCATTCATAATGGATGCAACTCCATGGGAATACATTGAAATCACAGCCAAATAATGTCTCTTTAAATCCTGTATTGATCAACCCTTTCATGTTTTACACTCATCTAATACACAACTAACTTCACAATGATCTGAGGAATGGGGTGAAGTTCATTTTCTGTGTTTTCTGACCCTCGCTGTGATTCTCGTCCTCTCAGGTTGGGTGTACGCCTTCGACAAGATAAACACACTGAACCTGAACACACCATACGACTACAACTCCGTCATGCAGTACCACAGGTTACCAAGCATTCATCTTCATTTATATACGCATATATTGGATATAAGTCAAAGGAACAGTTCACCCAAAACAATTAATTGTAGACAGAACTGAGGCTTGAATTGCAGTCAGGAGAGCCCAAGAAATAAAAGTGCAAAGGTATTTCTACGGACCCAAAAACAGCAAAATATGTTTCAAAAAGGTTTGTTTTTATTTGAAAAAAAAACCTTTGTACTACAGGTAGCCTGGACAGGTGAGTAACATTAACAATTTATATATTTTTGGGTAGGTTCGAATTTTGAGAAAGAAATACAAAGCTTGAAAAAAAAAAAGAAAAAAAGAAATCTAATCCTGAAAAAAAAGTCTAATTATGAGAATAAGTGATATTTTGAGAAAAAAGTGAAAATTGTTGAAATTTTGTGAAAAAAGTCCAAATCTGTTAAAAAGTTAGAATTCTGAGAAAAAAGTTAGAATTCTGAGAAAAAAGTTTGAATTCTGAGAAAATAATCTAATTAGGAGGAAAAGTGAAAATTATGAAAAAAAGTCAAATTCTGTGAAAAAGTTAGAATTCCGGAAAAAATATGAAATTGTTGTAATTCTGAGAAAAAAATATAATTCTGAACAAAAGTCTAATTATGAGAAAAAGTGATATTTTGAGAAAAGTCAAAATATGAGAAAATTATCTATTTAGGAGGAAAAGTGAAAATTATGAAAAAAAGTCAAATTCTGTGAAAACATTTGAAATTGTTAAAATTTTGAGAAAAAAGTCCAAATCTGCTAAAAAGTTTGAATTCTGAGAAAAAAGTTTGAATTCTGAGAAAATAATCTAATTAGGAGGAAAAGTGAAAATTATGAAAAAAAAGTCAAATTCTGTGAAAAAGTTAGAATTCCGAGAAAAATTTGAAATTGTTGTAATTCTGAGAAAAAAATATATTTCTGAAAAAAAAGCTGAACACATTTTGAATAGTCCAGCCCATCTCTTCTTGTATTATTTTTCTTAATAAAGCAGCTAAATTAAAGTGGACCTATCATGCTATATTTGAATAATATATTGTAGGGCCATACCTATATAAGGCATATTTATACTTTTTTTTTTTCAAAATACCAAACAGATCATGCATTTTAGCCATGCCTCATTTTGCTCTATTTGCTCTATTCCAGCCCTGTCTTCACAAGGGCTGATTCTGTGGCAAATGAGCTGCAGCTGACCACGCCCCCCTGCAAAGGAGGGGGGCGAGGCACGAGCGTCATGTTACCATGCTGTTACCATGCTGTTACCATGCCACGCAACCTCTCATTCCCCTGATAGGTGGAGAGTTGCCAATATAGGCGGAGCACCCCGTTTCTGACGTCAGAGCAATTTCAAATCTGTATCAGTCTGTATCAGATCCGTTTTTAGAGATTTGGGTATGGAGGAAAAGAGAGAGGGTTGTGTTTTCTGACACTTGGTGAGTTCCCTGACACACCGGGGACACATATTCATGTATAAAAGACGTACAAAAGTGCATTTTGGATGATAGGTCCCCCTTAAGTTATTACAGCAACAGAATGAATAAACAGTTGGCAAATAATAATGATAGATAATATTTAAATGCATAACATTCATAAGAGTGAAACCAGGATTAAAATAGGTCCCAAGCTCTCAAAATAAATGCAAAATATACATTTACCTACACTGCCTTATCAGCGTTTTTCTAATTTACACAATAAATATGTCTTCATAATAATGAGATAGATCTGATTTGTTTTGGTGACTGAACCGACTCTTTAAGGAGCATTTGAGTCTCAATGGTTTCTAAATGTTTATTATATATACAAGCTAATAATAATGAAGCCTCTGTGCTCTAAATGTTTCCAGGTATGCCTTCAGTGGGAACAATATGCCCACCATGGTGCCGATCCCCAACGCCAACGTAGAGTTCGGCACGGCCAATCAGATGAGCAGGAACGACATCAGCAGACTGAACACGCTGTACAAATGTTGAAAGGTAAGAAAACACACGCTGGGTTCCCTTCATTCATCTGTTTTCAGGGCAAAGGAAAGTGTGTTTGTCGCCTTTAACGTGTTTCTTCTGTTCCAACAGGTGGTGAAGAAACCCTGAGGACATGGGGCCAATGTACACATCAAACCTGCTCTTTATAGCACAGTCTGAGAAAGTGTGTTGATAAAGAATCTTCAAACATGTTCGATGAAGTGTAGTTTGTAGTTTGTGCACTTGTTAACACTTTTGTACTTCAGAAAATGTTCCTGATTTTTTTATTCTTCTACCTAAGTTTGAAGAAAGGTGTGAAGAAGAGGTGAAAGATGTGTAAAAGCTGCAGAATCTCTTATGTATAAACTCAAACTCATATTACTTTTAGTGTCTGTTTCACATGTCAGCATCAAAACAAACGTAACTTACCAAAAGCACAAAATGGTGCATAAAGGTAAATATTATGTAATTGGAAAAGCATCATCAATCATTTGTTGATTAGTAACAGTATTTTGTTAAGTAACTGAAGCTGCCAAAATAATCGTTTTCGAGGCAAAAGTATATATAATATTTGGAGTTGTACCGAAGATGATTAGTGCCACAACTGAAAAGAAAAAGTGAGATCTGACCAAAAGTTCTTTATTTTTTTGTTTGTCAGAAATCTGACTTTTAAGAAATACACTTTTGGTCAAATCTCAATTTTCTATTTTTTTAAACATGTGGCCCTAATCTACGGATCTAGAGGATTAGTGCTAAAAGAGGATTAGAGACACATGATTAGGGGCCACATGTAAAATAGTTTGTGAGATCTGACGATAAGTGACATTTCTTCTCAGGGGGGTTCTATCCAATGCAGAAATGGAGATGGCTATCCATGCCTTTACTTTACATTACATGTTACTTGTTAGACGCTTTTATCCAAAGCGATTTACATACTCAATACTGTGGGTAATCCCCACAGGAGCAATTTGGGGTGAAGTGTCTCAGGGACACAACGACATGCTGACTGCAGCGGGGTTTGAACCTGTGACCATCTGATCCACATACCAAGGCTCTATCCACTGCGCCACACGCCTCCTTTATTTCCTCCCGGCTTGATTACTTTAATGCTCTTTTATCCTGCCTCAACAAAACATCAATAAACCGGTTACAACAGGTCCAAAACGCTGCAGCCAGATTACTCACTCGGTCCAAAAAAACATGCCACATCACTCCGATCCTTTCTGCCCTGCACTGGCTCCCTGTCCATCTCAGAACCCAATTCAAGGTATTGGTCTTCACATATAGAGCTGTCCACGGCCAAGCCCCAGCCTACATTAACGACCTGATCCACCCTCACAGCACAACCAGGGCCCTGAGGTCCTCTGAGCAAGGCCTCCTAAGGGTGCCCCGAACCAGGCTAAAAACTAAGGGGGACCGTGCCTTTGAGGCGGTGGCCCCAAGACTTTGGAATGACCTCCCTCAGAAACTGAGAGCCTCTGCCTCAGTGGAGATTTTTAAGGGGCAGCTAAAGACTCACCTTTCCGACAGGCCTTTGGGGCGTCAGAGGAGGAGAGTTAGTAGCTGTTTCTCATTGGAGTTTATCCTATGTTTTACCTGCTGTGTTTTATGCCTTTTATTCTACATGTTATAGTTGTACTTTGAATTGAGTACTGTATACTGTAAAGCACTTTGTGCATTCGTGTTGAGAAGGGTGCTATATAAATAAAGTTTTACTCACTTACTTTACTTCTTTAGACAGGAAGTAAACACAGAATTCAGACTTTTTTTCCAGAATTCTAAATGTTATCACTTCTGTTCAGATCTCAACAAGTATTTCACATGTGGCCCTGATCTTCCTCCGTAAAGTAGAAGTATACATTTGCATCAAATTTAAATTCTCTAACTATGAGATTCTGACTTTTACAAACACGAACTCAATGGGATCCGATTGCTCTTTTTCCACTTACAAAATATATTTGATGTAAGTAAAAGTATCATGACTAAACTATAGAAACACTGAGTTGCAAGAACACAGAACAATATCACAGAACATCTGTATTGTAAAATATATCATTTATATTCCACTTTGCTAACAGTTCCTTTGCTAAGAAATATTGTTTAATATAAACTCAATGAATTTATAAAAGAGTATATTTCCCCCTGTGGCACGCTCCACTCACAGCTGCACACACACACACACACACACACACACACGCACACACGCACGCACGCACGCACGCACACACACACACACACACACACACACACACACACACACACACACACACACACACACACACACACACACACACACCGTCTGACTTCAAACTGAGTGTTTGTGGTGTTAGCATCATTTCATTTATCTCTTAGTCTTGTCTCTGGAGCTCAAGGAGGACATTAACTCTAATCGTGGAAATAAAAGGTATTTCTTTTTTAAAACCTCAATAATGTGAAGATGAGTTTCCACATCTTTCTCGCTGACACTGTTAGTGGATATATGGCTGCATAATCCAAAGAAACGAACACAGTGTTTGAATGTTTAATGTTGATCTTGATAAACTGCTTTGAGATGAAGCGTTCACTCTGCAGGTCGTTGCTTAAAGACCCTCTGCTTGTAATGAATGAACAACGATGGCTTCGTACAGAAAGGACTCTGATAGTAGAGAATGAAAGTCAGGGGTAATAACACAGTGTACTTTATTTGAAAGACAAATGAACACATAAAAACATATTCAAGATAAGTAAATGAGGCGTGTTGCGCAGTGGACTAATGCTCGGATCAGGGGGTCAACAGGTTCAAACCCCGCTGCAGTCAGCATGTCGTTGTGTCCCTGAGACACTTCACCCCAAATTGCTCCTGTGGGGATTGTCCACAGTATTGAGTATGTAAGTCGCTTTGGATAAAAGCGTCTAACAAGTAACATGTAATGTCATGTAAATTAAAGTACCTCAGAATTTAACTGCAGTAAAGATGTTTGTCCACTAGGGGGCGACACTTCCTCACAGTTCACATGGAAACACCTGGCAGTAACACACCTTTACAGAGCTGCTTTAATGACACAGGTATTTAAGCATCGCCACTAAAAGAAAAACAATTGTGTTTTCCCTCAGAATGTAAATGGAAAATCAGCATTTACTTTAATGAGAAGTTTCAAATGTACGCCTGGATCCAGAAATGCCAATAAGGAGTCACATTAGATTAGATTACTTTATTGTCATTACATAATGCAAACAGAGTGTAACGAAATGAGGAGGGTCTAACCAGAGTGCAGACAGTCAGTTATATACACATCTACCAGCAGTCTGTACAAAATAAATGATACAAATAAAGGAAAATAGATGTAAAATGTATAAATAAGAATACATACTATTTAAAACACAGTTTGCACAATCATCCTCAGTGTCATCTACACAGTTATCCTTCTTTAAAGATTGTTATGCAGTGTAAATAAACACAACTAAAGCACAAACAAAAGAAACAAGGTATTATTTATTTATATTTTAACCCTTGTGTTGTGTTCGAAAGCTGTTTCCGTTCATGGTGTTCGCGGGTCAGTTTTGACCCATGATTTATCTCAGTCCAAAACACACAAAAAATGGCTATCATCCGATATTGTTTTAACTACATCATAACTAACTTATAATGCATTCATAACCGTACAATCCTGTTGTGATTTAATGTTATGGCCCCAAAACACATCACACCACATATTGCACACGTGCATGTGTGAGTTCAGGTTCAAGTGTTAGTGTACATATTCTTTGAGAAAGGTTGAGTTCCCGTGGGAATCATTGTTTCATATATATATACATTATACATATATATTACGTATATATTTTACTTTGTATTTACTACACTTTCCTAATGAGCAGGTTTTCTCTCAGGAGCCGTCTGTCTCCGAGCTCCTGTGGAGGGCCAACAAGGATGTGGGTGAGTCAACATGCACATTTATGTATTTATATATTCAGAGGTAGAGTGAACATTAATAGACATTTCTAAATGTGCCAAAAACCCTGGACACATATTACAGTCACCCTGAGAAAGAACATAAATAATGACTAAATTATTTGTAGAGACATAATGAGGCAAGGCAAGTTTATTTATATAGCATCTTTCAACACAAGGCAATTCAAAGTGCTTTACAAAAATGAAAGACATTAAGAAAAAGTGCAGCAGAAACAACCTGATACACTACTTCCAGTATAATTCAATGAACACACATTGAAATATAACCTTTGACCTCATTCACACAGTGCAACTGAAGTATTCTTAGACATATTGTGTGAGTTGGGACGTACTATGAGATTGCACATGTGTTCATTGTCTCATAGCATATTTTAGTTTACTCAGTGCAGACAGGTTGTATTGAATCTTGCAGACACTGCCCTTATTTTAACCTCTTATTCCTTGAGCCAACTCCCTGTTAGAGAACGTGCTATTCAAGCATTGTGTCGCTAACAGGTGAAGGTATGTCACCATTAGTTGACAGTTTTGAAAGGTTGGGCTGTTTTGATTCCTTACTATGTTATCATTAAATAATGCCAGATTAAATTAGAATCTAATACAAAAAGTGGTCATAAGAATTAGTTACTATTTTTTTAACTTAATTACCTGTGTACTGCAAAATGTAAATTCACAATACAAGGCCTTTTTTATTTTTTTATCAAAATTGGTTTCACTCCCATCTGTACTCTGATTGGTTTGTTCATATATCATCAATAGCCAGATTTATAGACTGATTATTGATGATTGCGTTAAGGATTATAACATCTGTTTCCCTAAAAAACATGTGGAGAATAGATTTTTCTTAAAGGCTGATGACAGTTTTTCTGGATTTATGTCGTGGTACAAACCCATATCAAAACTCCCCTCTGTAAAAACCTTTGACTCTAATAAGTCGACAATAAAACAAGAATTTGATCCTGGTTTTAACCAGTGTACACATTTCTGTGCTGTTTCTGTATGCGTTAGTATATTTAAAGATAACATTTCAGAAAACGTGTACTGTAATAAAAAACAAAGTCATGATGTGAGTGAAACATTTTTAATTGTAATATTATTCACCATCCACCTCTTTAAAAATAATGACATTTCAAATGATAAGCTCCATCTTATAAACAGGGCATTCATAAAATAGATTTTAGAAGCATATTTCATGCAATTTTGATATTTACAAAACCCTTTATTTATCTCCCAGTCAGACGGGACGTTTGCAGTGAGTTAGTCTCACCTGTACAGGCAGTGCTGGAGTGTGTTCAAGGTGAAGAATGAGATCATAATCATTAGAAGCAGTCCAACCAGTCAGACCGCTCTCACTGACACAGGCTGCAGCCATCAGACACTTAGATTAGCTTAGTTTAGCATATATACTAGGAAAAGGGGGAAAATAGTGAGTGACAAAATACACATTTAAGTGAACTTAATATATCTCTGTACGATAACTGAAATGTAAAAACAATTTGGCAACTTGTTTTGGTCCCAGTCAAGAAATAGCCCGACCCATAATCCCCTGTTAAACGTCTTATTGATGTTTTTACTCCTCTGATTTGGTATGGATTAAACAAACTGGATTCAGAGCTGCTGATAGGTGGATTTTGTTACCTTTGGACAGGCTGGCTTTGTCTTCCTCTGTTTCCAGTCTTTATGCTAAGCTAAGCTAACCAGTTGATGGCCTTATTTCTAACAAACATATTCAGCAATCTTAATATCTATGATCAGCTGATCCAAGAGGGTTTTAAATAGTTTATAAAGCTTCAGAAGAACCAAATCTTTCAGACAAATGTAGTTAAGTAGAAATGGAAATAGTTAAGTACATTTTTTTAAGATACTTTCCCTAAGTTGAGAACTAGTGAAAACTGTACTTCAGTAAGTACATTTAAAAAACACAAAAAATAACATTCTTTGTTCCTTTTTTTTTTAATCCATTGAGGCTTTGTTCAAACTTTACAAGCAGTGTGCAGAGAGGTGGACGAAATACAATTAACATAACACAACAGACAGCTGAGATGTAACATTTTAATTCCCCTGGTTTGTGAAACCACTGCAGCCTAATGTTTAATGATCAGGTATTGTTGAATTTCCAAGTAACTGTAAATAAATTTTGTTCCAATATACTCTAATTCAATAATCAATCCTGAACTTCCCCTTAAAACACACCAGAGACCCATCATTTTCCCCTCAATTGGAAATTATAAAAAAAAGAAATATATATACAGTATTTTACTAATGAAAAAGGAGTGCATTACTTCCACTAGTAATGTCTGCAAGTATGAAACACTTTTTGAACACACAATTCTGAGACAATACATACTTTTCTTGTCCCCCTGACATATAAAGAAGTGGTCAAAGTTTATTTCTGAGTAAATAGTTTTCTGATCACTTCAAGTCATGACGGCAGGTAGTGCAATCCGTAGAATAAACTAGAGTACATTAATGGTTCAAATGGTTGTTCTACTCGGTGTGATTGACAGGAGAGATGATCAGAGGAGCAGAGTTTTTACCACCATGATTAAGACTGGGACTAAAGTATGGGTAGAGTTTCTCTTTGAAGCAGCAGCCAGTGAAGGAGTAGATCAGAGCTGCAGCATCAACATCATAAAAGGAGACCAGACCCTCCTCATAATCCACAAACACCCCCACCTTCTCAGGCTGAGACTTCAGAGAGAGACGGACTCGAGGACCAGCACAAGCTTTGTACTCATTTTCATTCCTCAACCTTATCGTCCAGTAACCATTCTGAGGAGTCGCTGTGATGAGTCCCTTCCTGTTGATCGACTCTCTGGCCACTCCTAAATCCCAATCACTGAAGTTAATACTAGTTGTTGTTGTCGTGTGCTATGCTGAAGCGCAATCATCCTTGTACATTACTGTTTTATATACAGTACTGTATTCACTGTATTTATTATTATCTGTGTATTTATTCTTATTTATACATTTCCCATCTATTTACCTTTATTTTTGTATCATTTATTTTGTACATACTTCTGATAATTGTGTATATAACTGACTGTTTTGCACTCTGGTTAGACCCTCCTTAATTTCGTTACACTGTGCTTGCATTTTGTAATGACAATAAAGTAATCTGATCTAATCTAATCTAAAAAACAGTAAACGTTATCATCTTCAAAAGGCAGACAGCAGTTACTATAGAAACAGGTTCAAAGCTCAAGGCTACTTACCACAGTGTGTACAAATTATATAAAATGAAATATGTAATTGTCATGCCTTTTTATAAGCAACACTTGTAACACAACACCAGATCCCCTGCTTTGGAAAGTCCAGAACAAATCTACTATTTAGATTCTACTTTGTTTAATAGAGTCAATTATAAAGATGTTTTAAAATACAGGAAATATGAAAATTAGCATAAGCTAATGCTAGCTTTGACTGTATGCTCTCTAACCTAACTTAACCAGAGTTTACATTGTAGTTGTATTGTTGGCTGTTGCTAATGTAAATGTTGAGGTTTTTATCTTAACTGACACATTTATATAATATTCTTTATATGGTAAACTGATGTAATACAGTCAGATTCTGATTTTAATCCAACTTTGACTAAATATTTAGTAAGTGATGTGTCTGTAGTGTACTCACCAGTGTTTGCAGAGTCCTGCTGTGTTATTGAGAAAAAGCTGCTGGATTCAGTTGAGTGTTTCTTCAGAGAAACAGAGACTTGTCTCGGCTGCTGCTCTGCTGTCGCTCAGACAAACTTCAGCTTTCATTTCTGGGAAATGTAAACTCTTCTCTTACAGTGTGGTCCCACCTCTCAGTGGCAGTTTGCCAAGAGGGAGTGGAAGAAGAACTATTGAGGATTGTTATTTAACTTTGTGACGATGCATTTTACAGCTGATCCAAGAGGCTTTCAAATTAGTGATGTGCCCGTCGTTCACTCTTTTAAGTGAACGACGGGAGCCGGCTCGCGCCCGCGAACAAGCCGTTTTTTTGTTTTTGTTATTTTTTCATAAGTAATACAAGACAGAATGATATGATGATCTCCGCGCTACAGCTGCTCCGTGCATGCATGCAGTGACATGTAATATCCAAGGATTAGAGACGGTTGGATGCTGCTGTACTGAGCATTGCAATATATTGATTTTCACTATGTTATTTATATATGATTATCCTTGGGCTCAGCAAAGATTTGATGTCAGCTGTTGCTGTCTTTTTTTCTATAGTTAATACTGAAATAGAGCCCTGCTGTTTTGCCAGGGCCTTTTCTTTAAATATAATTTTAAAATATCGATACAGTAGCCCCTTTTTTTAAATGTCTATGCATACGTTTTTATAGGTGTTGCTATCTGCTTTGTGTAGCGTGGTTCTACAAGCAAGTCTGTGCATTCATTGGGTGGTATCAGAGAGATACAAGGGTCTGTAAATGCAATGAAAACAATTGGCCACAGCAAATAATTGATATTAAACATGTAATTTTTACTTTTGAATAATTCAGTACAAAGGATGTATTGAATAATTTAAGTGATATGTGTACACATATAAATCATTAGACAAAACAGGGCTACATTTGATTGAATTATAAAAGGTATAATATGTGGTAAAATGAAGAGCCGTTTGGGAGCCGAAAGAGCCGGCTCTTCTTCGTGAGCCGAGCCAAATGATCCGGCTCACCAAGAAGAGCCGGAATTCCCATCACTATTTCAAATAGTGTATTGAGCATAAGCAGGAATATGTTCTCAATACATAAAGGACATCTCGTTACACATCTGGAGATTTATAGCTATATTTCACAACGCTGTGTTATGGTCCCTGTTTAAGAGCAGCTGGTGAAACATTTCCTCCTCCCTGAACAGACTGTTTCGAAATGGGTCTTTACTTAAAGATAACATTTCAGAAAACGTGTACTGTAATAAAAAACAAAGTGAAACATTTTTAATTGTAATATTATTCACCATCCACCTCTTTAAAAATAATGACATTTCAAATGATAAGCTCTATTTTATAAACAGGGCATTAATTAAATAGACTTTACAAGCATATTTCATGCAATTTTGATATTTACAAAACCCTTTATTTATCTCCCAGTCAGACGGGACGTTTGCAGTCAGTTAGTCTCACCTGTACAGGCAGTGCTGGAGTGTGTTCAAGGTGAAGAATGAGATCATAATCATTAGAAGCAGTCCAACCAGTCAGACCGCTCTCACTGACACAGGCTGCAGCCATCAGACACTTAGATTAGCTTAGTTTAGCATATATACTAGGAAAAGGGGGGAAATAGTGAGTGACAAAATACACATTTAAGTGTACTTAATATATCTCTGTACGAAAACAGAAATATAAAAACAATTTGGAAACTTGTTTAGGTCCCAGCCAAGAAATAGCCCGACCCATAATCCCCTGTTAAACGTCTTATTGATGTTTTTACTCCTCTGATTTGGTATGGATTAAACAAACTGGATTCAGAGCAGTTGATAGGTGGATTTTGTTACCTTTGGACAGGCTGGCTTTGTCTTCCCCTGTTTCCAGTCTTTATGCTAAGCTAAGCTAACCAGTTGATGGCCATATTTCTAACAAACATATACAGCAATCTTAATATCTATGATCAGCTGATCCAAGAGGGTTTTAAATAGTTTATAAAGCTTCAGAAGAACCAAATCTATCAGACAAATGTAGTTAAGTAGAAATGAAAATAGTTAAGTAAAAAATGTTTAAGATACTTTCCCTAAGTTGAGAACTAGACAATATTAATACAATTAACATAACACAACAGACAGCTGAGATGTAACATTTTAATTTCCCTCGTTTGTTAAACCACTGCAGCCTAATGTTTAATGATCAGATATTGTTGATTCTCCAAGTAACTGTCAATACATTTTGTACCAATATACTGTAATTCAATAATCAATCCTGAACTTCCCCTTTAAAACACACCAGAGACCCATCATTTTTCCCTCAATTGAAAATTATAAAAAATATATATATACAGTATTTTACTAATGAAAAAGGAGTGCATTACTTCCACTAGTAATGTGTGCAAGTATGAAACACTTTTTGAACATACAATTCTGAGACAATAAATACTTTTCTTGTCCCCCTGACATATAAAGAAGTGGCAAAAGTTTATTTCTGAGTAAATAGTTTTCTGATCACTTCAAGTCATGACGGCAGGTAGTGCAATCCGTAGAATAAACTAGAGTACATTAGAACATACTCATCAGTATTTTATGTGTTTTTATGCGTCTCATCAAGGTGAACCATATGTGATCAGATTCTGAAAAATTAACAATGTGTACAATGTACTTCCCCAGTTGAATACATTTATTACATTTAGTGAGAGTGAATCTTTCTGTAGAAAATCAAATGGTTGTTCTACTCAGTGTGATTGACAGGAGAGATGATCAGAGGGGCAGAGTTTTTACCATCATAATTAAGATGGGGACCAAAGTATGGGTAGAGTTTCTCTTTGAAGCAGCAGCCAGTGAAGGAGTAGATCAGAGCTGCAGCATCAACATCATAAAAGGAGACCAGACCCTCCTCATAATCCACAAACACCCCCACCTTCCCAGGCTGAGACTTCAGAGAGAGACGGACTGAAGGACCAGCACAAGCTTGGTACTCATTTTCATTCCTCACCCATATCGTCCAGTAACCATTCTGAGGAGACACTGAGATCTGTCCCTTCCTGTTGATCGACTCTCTGACCACTCCTAGAGTCCAATACGTCTTCCCTTTAACCTGAACCTCGTAATAAAATCTTCCTGAAGAGAAACTCTGCTTTGCTAAAACATTAGGACAATAATCAAATCTCTCTGGATTGTTTGGGAGATTCTTCCTCACATCACCATGTTTAACTTGTTTTCCATCATCAGACAGGATGAGTTTGGGATGTGCTGTATCAGGATCAAGAGTCACCTCCACCTCATACTGCTGGACCCTCTTCAGCTCCACCTCAGGGAGCAGCTTCTTCATCTGTTTACTGAGCGTCTCCTCCAACTGAGCCACAGCTCTCCTCACAGTCCCCTCATATGAAGGTGGACGGACCCTGACTTCTGTCCAGTTCTTGGTGGGTGGAGCAGCGTTCAGGGACATGAAGCTTTGGAGGAGGTGGAGCTGGTCTTCAGAGCGTGAGAGCTGCTCCACCTCAGAGCTTCTCTTCTTCAGCTCAGAGATTTCCTGTTCCAGCTCTTTGATGAAGCCTTCAGCCTGTTCCTCTGTCTCTCTCTGCTTCTCTTTGATGGTGTCGATGAGCTCGGCCTGGCTTCTCTCAACAGACTCCTTCAGAGCGGTGAAGACCTGAACACCATCTGCTATCTCTCTGTCTGCTCCTTCCTTACTGAGCTCCACTGAGCGACTCATCTCCTGAATCTTCAGTCGTCTCTTCTGGATCATCTGCTGAATTTCAGCCTCTGTCTTCCCCAGCTCAGCCTTCTTTCCTTCATATTCTTCTTTCAGAGGAACAACATCATGTGTCTTGTGGTCTAAAAGAGTGCAGAGCATGCAGACACACACCTGGTCGGTCTTACAGAACAGCTCCAGCAGTTTATCGTGCTTCACACACATCCTGCTTTCCAGGTTCTCCACAGGGTCGATCAGCTGATGTTTCTTCAGGCCTGGCCTTGTCAGGTGAGGCTCCAGGTGAGTCTCACAGTAGGAGGCCAGACACACCAGGCAGGACTTCAGGGCCTTCAGTCTGGTTCCAGTGCAGGCGTCACAGGGAACTTCTCCTGGTTTGACAACTTGTTGCTCTGAGCTGCTGCTGCTGGCTTTCTGTTGAGCTGACTGTCTGAACTGAGCAGCCATCTCAGAGATGAAAGTGTTGACCAGCAGCTCAGGCCTTGTGTGGAATAACTTTTTACAGTTGGGACACTGATAGGGGACTTTAGTATCCCAGTGTTCAGAGATGCAGGCTTTACAGAAGTTGTGTCCACATGGTGTGCTGACTGGATCAGTGAACACATCCAGACAGATGGAGCACAGAAACTGATCTTCAGTCAGCAGACAGCTGGCAGCAGACATGTCTCTCTGGGGACAAAAAGTTTGAAAAAAACAAAAACTGTAATGTATATATGATTTAATCTCTTGTATCCGTTTGCTATAAGTCAAATAGATGGTGATTCTGAACTCTGCTGATGTATCATGATTATGCGGAGGGTGAAAGATTGCTCAAATTTGCAATTCACTGTTATTGTTAAATGTTAAAAAAATATCTCTGTTTGTTAATATTATAAATGAAATCTGGAAAATCGTAGCAGCATTCAGTTTAAACTCTAAGAAACACAATGTGTAAGCTCTAATACTGTTGGGGGATTTTGCCGTTGTTGAACAGAGGAGTGAAACCTCCTGCTGAGCATCACTGAAGTTAATACTAGTTGTTGTTGTCGTGTGCTGTGCTGAAGCGCAATCATCCTTGTACATTACTGTTTTATATACAGTACTGTATTCACTGTATTTATTATTATCTGTGTATTAATTCTTATTTATACATTTCCCATCTATTTACCTTTATTTTTGTATCATTTATTTTGTACATACTTCTGATAATTGTGTATATAACTGACTGTTTTGCACTCTGGTTAGACCCTCCTTAATTTTGTTACACTGTGCTTGCATTTTGTAATGACAATAAAGTAATCTGATCTAATCTAATCTAAATGTCACTACCCGATCTGCCGCCCTGCCCTATCTGCAGTGCGCATGTGCGAGATGATCCGCCATATTGCACAACTCCGTACGGCAACCCAACTAGGACACTTGACACAGTGGCATTTGGCAAAGCACACAAAGAAAACTCCGAAAACCGAGAGAGATGAGTTATTGTTATTACAACGTGACTTCACTATTATTTAACATGTAGTGATCACTCATTTACTCATGTACATAATTCACTCATGGAACTACAGGTGGGGGGGTATTGTTTCCGCACGGACATATGTGTTGCTGACAGTATTTATTGTGTGCCCTCCTGGCTTCTTTCTCTTCTTCCTGGGCTGCGACCCGACAACATGTCCGTTTCTGCTGCTCATTAAAGTTCCCATTTGCACCTTCGATGCACCGCCTCCGACTCCTATCTCTTGGCACTACATTGGTGACCCTGACATAAGTCTCGCGAAGGATCCGAGACTGAACCGAACACGGCAAAAAACAGACACTGTTTTTCTCGAAATGCCGGAGATTTTTGGGGACGTCCATGGCTGCCACGTGCACACGGACTGTGGCTCGGTGCGCCCTCCGGAATGGCCGCGGACGACGCTCGCCATTTCCACGGCTTTTCGGCACTGGGGGACAGCAAGCCTTCCATGGAGCCGATACACGACGATGCCTGGTTTATTCGGGACATGCGGCTGCATGTCCGGCTGTGCTCGCTAACGGCTAATGGACAGCTGGCGACTAGCAGCTAGCGGCTAACGACATCCGACTGTTAGCCCCTTTTTTTTTTTTGGTGCCGGAGAGGAGGTTCGATCAAGTCTGGTCGGCCTCGTGTGGACCCTCTCGCTTTTTCGCCACCTCGACGGCGGCTTCGGACGTCGCCCATGCCTTCTTCGGCCCGTGGGTGGCACGCTTCTGGACCCCGTCTCGCCTCGACTCTACGGTTTCGGACGTCGCCCATGCCTTCATCGGCCCGTGGGTGGCGCGCTTCGGGACCCTGTCTGGCCTCTTCCTTCGCCTCGGCAGCAGCTTCGGACGTCGCCCACGCCTTCATCGGCGCACTCCCGGACCCTACCTGGCCTCTCCTCTAACCACGGCTCACGGTTCGCCTCGACGGCGGCTTCGGACGTCGCCCCGTCTGACCCCGTCTGACCCCGTCTGACCCTGTCTGACCCCGTCTGGCCTCTCCCCTGTCCACGGTTCCTTCCTCCCGGGGATGCTGCTCCTGCCCCCCGGGGATACCGCTCCATCTTTCCAGGGACTTCATGCCCGCCGCTGCTGTGCCTTTGCCTGCGGCCGGGCAGCGCTCCTCCCTGCTGGGGACCACCGGGATATTCACGCCCGTCCCCACATCGCAACACAGCGACCCTGCTTTCTGCGGCCCCCTTCCGACGGCCCGTTCCATGGCCTCGGCCCCTGTGGTGCTTCCTCCCGGACGCAAGGATTGTGTCCATGGTTGAATTCTGGGGGAGCTTGTGTAGTGATCACTCATTTACTCATGTACATAATTCACTCATGGAACTACAGGTGGGGGGGTATTGTTTCCGCACGGACATATGTGTTGCTGACAGTATTTA